TATTTTTTTTTTTCCTATATATGTTTTTGTTATAAATTGCTTGTATTAATTGAAAAATATATTAGAGCACTAAGGGGTAAACAAGTTTATCTCTGGCATTACCGACTTTAATTTGCCAGTGTTATCGCACATTCGCGGATGTGCGCGTTAGTCATTCAATAAAGATTAAGATCGCATTCTTGAAATTTCTAACTCAATGAAAGCGAACGAAAGAGGATGGAAAGAATAATTGCTTCGTTTTGACGCAAATAGCTATCGTTCGTGAAAGTGTAAATTGCGTTCATCGATCTTCATATTTATACAATGGATCGATTTATATACCTCCTTTTATCTCTGTTGCAGATTGATTCTAGCTCTGATGATGCTGAGCGCAGCCGGTGTCTCGTCCTCCCACATGCCCGAGAAATATCCCATAGAAGTAAGTCTCCATAGAATGATTATGTTCTCTATTTTACGAATTAGCAGTTAACAAATGTTTTTAAACGGTAGAAAAATATTTTTGTGTTGAATTAAACTATAAAAATATTATCCATGACAATTTTTCTCTTCCAAATTCTTTGAACATTGAATAATTTATGCTTATGTAAATTTCAAATTTAAACTCTTTTTAAAAACATTATTATAATATACGATACATCTAAATATGGTGTTTTTAATTTAAAACAAAATGACAGAGCATCGGATATTTTCATTAATAAATAATAAGTCACGGAAGAGATATTAATTATATCGATTTATATCACACAATTCTATGACAAACTAGTTTTCATTGAGAATCAATGTTAATGATAAAAAACACCAAGAAATAATAACGTCCATGATTTGTTTTCGCGATCGGTTATCATGGCGATCTGCTTTCTCAACGAAAACCTTCACCGTGCGCGCATATTAATTCAATTCAATTGCGATAATTAATACGCAATTACATGGCCGCTATACAGGGTGGCATTACGCCGAGAGGATAATTAATTGACACCGAGAAGGGGTCCCTAAATTACACTAGCGCAGACCACAAGGCCACGGCGGCGTGCGAGAACGAATGCAAATACGATCCGCTGCTCTGCCATACTGCCGGCGTCATTCCCTCGGTATCATGTTATAATTATGCTTAAAGAGTCTGTTTATTCTGGAAAACGTTGTGGCATTACGAGCGACACGAAAATAGACGGCGCGCGGCCTAGAAAACGCGGCGCATTCTTGCCACTTGAAGTCACACCTGTGACCCTTATCGCGAGAGCTTACGTCAAGGTCGTTTCTCCGAAGTGTTTGATATGCATACACGTGTTTCAGAATCGGTATTGCAATAAATAGAATTTGATAAAATATCAGAAATAATTATTATAATATTTCATACATTACGAATTCCTTGGTAAATTTGTATATCTGACATTTCTTAAACAAATGTTTTTTCATCATTAATCAATTTTTGTTGAAACTTTTTTCTTTTTTTCTTTTTTAAATATTTATAATTATAATTATAATCTATTATTTTAAAATTGATACACATGATACTTTCCAATAATTTCCATCGATTTTATATTACAGTTGAAACTAATAAACAAAATATTGAATAGATTCTGATTAAACTCGATTAAATCGTATAATCAGTTTTTTGATTATTGTTTAATATGAAAAGTATTGTCTTTGCATATAAATTTATTCTCAATCAAGTTCTATTACTCTATACTACACTATAAAAATTTATTTCTTTATGTATATCCAACGTGAAGTAGATATTTCCCTCTTTGTGCACGGCTATGCTGTATAAGTGTTGTGATTAACGTTCCGGAGTTAATGCCGGGGCATTAAGGAAGTATTAGTCTGTTGCTCTCGGGGTTAACGACTTACAAAAAAAGCGACTAAAAGTTCTCGTTCGAATCCCAAATTCGCCGTTAACGGGGACGCATGATGTTTACGAAAAATTTAATCGCGCGTGATGTATTTTCTCTTCTACGAAATCTGAATCATTATCGGCCCGTTAAAAATAGAAGTGATCTAGCAACGGTTGACGAACGTGGGTGGAACAAAAGACGCATTTAAGAAGCCGTTTAGGATTTAACGGTTGTTATTCGTCTCGCACGAGATTCGGCGAAAACGACAATTTGTATTCTAAGCTCGAAATATTACGCGTATAGCTCGCGTGCGAGCGTGAAATATGCGACTCGTCCGTTTGATTAATTAGACGAGCGTGATTGGAGGGAGGATCGGATATGAAGCATGAAGCGCGGGAAATCTTCACGTGAGAATCGAGCCTTTCTTATACCGTAGAGCGATGCTACATTAGCGAACTTCCGGCAGAAGTTAATACAACGGACAGCCCGTGGTGCGCAGAGATAGATCGAAACACCGTAAATTCAGCTCCGTGTGTGTGCAATACGGTAATCGATCCTTCGTTTAATTAATCACGACAAGAGTCCGCGATACCGAAGCGCGCATGGTCTAATTGGAATCTCGTTCGCGGTAGCGATATTAATTACCGAACAAACAGTTTGTGCTCTATGATGCCGGCGTGTGATTAACAGGGAATACTAGACGCATACTACCTTATTCCATCTATCTCCATCGTTTAATTACCACCTGGGTACGTGCTTCGGTACTTTTTTTCTATAAATCTATCATCACTCTTCATGCTCGCGTGGAGATGTTTCTTATAGAGAGATAGACATGATACGGAAGCGATGATAACTGAAAATTTAGAAATAAGATCTCTAAAGATTAATTTATATAAAAATACGTTTGTTATATAAAATTGCGATCGAATATATACGAGTTGTTACTACAGAGGTATCGTAGATTTTAAAAGATAATTGAAGAATTTAAATAAAATACGCGGATATAAATTAATGAAATACAGTTTTAATAAATTAAAATTTGCATTATGTTATTGCTAATGTAAAAATATACTTATATAATAAATTTATGTTCATTTGTGAAAACTATTATTTTCTTTACGATTTTAAAGTAACTTTTAATTTTAAATTCTGATTGCAGGTTTGAATTATCGTTCGCTAAAGAACTGATTAATGCAACAATGTTGATTTTTTTTTCAGGTGTACCATATGTTGCAAGAAAGAACGCAATTTGGAATGGGACGTGATAATAGGGTGAGAGGAACTTGGGGCACGTGGAGCTCGTGGAACGAATGTTCCAGATCATGCGGCACTGGTGTCCAGTCTCAATCACGAGAATGCATTCCTTTACGGTGAGTGCGTGTTCATTAATATAATGAATTCTATTAAAGATTTCAAAGTATATAAGCACGTATAATAATGGATATAGTATAAAATGCGCTAAATGATAAATTAAATGATTATTTTATCAGTTTGTAAAGTTGACAATTTATTTAAGAAAAAAGACATGATGCTATATACATAAATTATAGCTGCAGCGCAATTTTCTTCACGTCTCATTCGCTTGTATTTTTAAATAAAATAAAAACGCCATAAACGCTTGTTAAGTATGCTCGAGCGCCATATGGCTTAAATATATTTATGCTCGATTAATGATTTCCACACCTTGCTTCATTCTTGTCCTCGCGGGACGGGGGAGGCCACGGGGGGAGCCATCTTTCGCGGGAGGTCACGGCGGGGACCATGGTAATCGTACGGCATCGCGGTTCGAATGCAAAGCACCTTGCGATAATGCCCGGTCGATTCTAACAATAATCACACGCCTCACGATGTACCGTTAGGGTCTCGCGCAATTTAGATCATAAGCACTCGCCCCGGCGAGTCGCTGCATAACAGCGCGGAACTTTGAACTCGCGTGCGCGAGTACGCTATTCCTACGAGATGCTTCTCAATTGATCGATCACCATCGATCTTCTTCGGTTTCTTCGTATCCATAATCTGTGCAACGCATACAGGGTGCCTCGCGCATCTCGCGACTTGTTATACAGATTGTTTAATTCTTTCTCTTTTATAACGCAACATGTTATGCAGCAATGCAATAAGTATATTATATTTAAAAAAAAATCTTTTTTAATAAAAATTTTCTTAACGATATCTATAAAAAAAAATGTAGAGAGAATGTAAGAAGAGAAAATTTAAAGATTGATTTTTAAATCCTTTTTTTTATTTTTTTAAGGAAAATTATTTGCAATGTATGTAAATTATTTGCATTTTGTAAAATGTGATTTTTTTCTATCTTTGAATAAATGGACAGTTTTTTCTTTTCAGAATTTGTATGATATTTTCATATATATAAACATATTACACATATTTTTATTTACATCACAAACATGAGAGCTCCGATATAAAACTTCTTATCTTAAATAAACTTCTTTAAAACTCATACTTAGGATTGCATATACCGTCATATTCGTACAAATGTTTACTATACACTTGATGCACGAGTACGAACGTTACTTACTTATTTAAGTAAATACAGTGCTTTCTCCTTGAAAATCCAGCTATCCTTTTTAGCGAAGTTTGCCATCGATAAAATCTTATTTCAAGATTATATTGTATATCTGTGTTAAAATAAAAAGTAATCTTATTTTAGAGAATAAGAAAAATAAAAAGTTAAAGAAAAAAATATGTGTGAGTAATTTAAATTATGCTTTAAATTAGAGGATACAAGTTTAGCATACAAGTTCCGCACACCCTATATGTCCTGTCCGGCTAGCTATAAAGCAGCGTGCAAATTACGGATCAGTAGCGTAAGAAGATTATACACCGACAGGCCGACGACTCTCGCGAGCATCTCTCGGGGGCAGAAACGTGTTGTTATCGCCGCTGACATTTACACCTTCGTAACGCTACTGTGAGCCGTTACGTGACTTGCAGTATGAATCTCGCGACGAGTTTGCCATACAAGTAAATAAGGAATACCCAATAGCAAATCATCTCGTGGCTTCAAATTTGAGTTTTTTTTTTTTTTAATGATAATTTCACGGATGTTCAAGAATTTCCAAATCAAAAAATCAAGGAATTTAATCAATGTTAACATTTTTAGATAAAGCAAAAATAAAAAAATTTATGAGAGAAAAATTTAATTTTTAATACTCAAATTATTGTACTCAATTTTTATGTGTAAAGTATAAAAAACACAATATATCGAGCAATTATCTTTCCATGCAATTACGAACGTAATCGTCTCTTTCGCAGCACAGCGACATTATTAGATGAGATGCGCAGATAATCGATTCGTTCATTTTTATCGCATATAGTCTCTCTCCTTTGATCTCGAGATTAGCATGATGCCCTGCACATCCTGTAAAAATGTATTTATACATGGCATTAAAAAATCGAGATACATTGCGCGCTACTCGCTCGTGCGAGTCGATGTATAAGCTAATGCGAGCGATTCATTTCAGGAGACTTTTGAGGAGGCGAAGTATTATCTCGGAGAACGGTACGAGCACCGCCAGACCTATTTGTATCGGCACATATAAGCGCTACCACACGTGCAATACGCAGGTAAGCCGTCGCATGCGAATGGTCATTAACGAGTTTATTGAGAAAAATTAGAAGAACTCTTAAAGTTATTAAGATTTTAAATTTTATAAAAAGAGATGATAGAATCTAAAGCGTTTTCCTATTTCTCTTATATGCGTGTAAAGAATTATTTTAAGGATTCTTTTTTTTAAATTTTTTTAAAAGGCTTCACAATAAGATTTACTCGTATAAATAAATTATAAATTTCCTCTAAAAAAATATTTGCAACGCAAAAAGATAGTAGTCACAATCTTCTTATGAAGTAAGCATCCCTTTCGAATGTATAAACACTCGCTCCGTTTTCTCATGTCGGATGATGGCCTTGTTTCTTAGGCTGTTATTAGAGCCCTGAACCGACAATTAACTATGTAAACTTGCTCGTCCATAAAATCCATATACATGCTTACGCGTGTCACTACTTTTACGATGCCGTATATATCAATGGATGCGTCTATATCCACGCAGACTCATGCGTGTGCAGGGCACGCACCTTAGGATTTTCCTCTCGACGGTGCGTCACGAGTCGCGAACAAATCATTGCGCAGGCCAATTAAGGATGCGCACGACGACGATTTATATACCATGGCCCGGCATGCGCGCGCGTGTGTGTGTGTAAAATCCATAAGAATAATCACCATCTGCGAGACTAAAGATCTTTGTGTAATGGATGGCTTTGCCTAGTATTAAACATAGGAAAGAAGGGAGAAGAACGGCTTTTGCTGCTGTCGATTAGTCCTTGATGGTAATAAAAATCGCGCGATAAGGTCTATTTACTTTTTGACGATCAGACTCACTGATGTTAGGATTTCTGACCAACAACACGTACTGTTTTGTACACGTACTGTTGTCGCTAGTTTAAAAAATGTTCTCGTTAAAAACACAGAGCAAACAAAAGTTGAATAACAATTTTTGTTGATGTAAGCTTTAAATTAAAATTGCTTTGAATTGTGCCTGAAATTAAAGTAGCGATATAGTAAGTTGGCTTGAAAAGTTAACCGAACCATACGGCTTCGTTATCCATTATTACCTGGGAAAAAAGCGGCGGCGCCTCGTGCAGTAATATTTATCTTCGAGCTCGATACCCGGGACTACATTTCCGAGCTGCATTCGCGATTCGCAAACATGCCCCCGGGCAAAGTAACCACCGTTTCGTTCGCCGGCAATTAATAGTCTACCCGGAAATTGCAATGCGGCCGCGCACGTAGCACACCACACGTGCCGGCATTCGCATGTTTGCGCGAATATACGAACTTCCTCTCGGCGTACATACACGGCGGCTCGGAATGCGAGTTCTTCTTTTTTTTTTTTTTTCGCCAGGCCGCAAATAATTTTGCCTTTATTTACCCTCGGCGCTTTGGGAAAAGCGCGACGTGCCGTAAAAAGCGACGCGATCGATCGCGCCGGGGGTTTTTCTTTTTTCTCCCAGAAACCGAACCGTCTCTTTCTCGACGTATAGTCGCCCCCGTCCCTCCTCCCCTCTCCCTCGATCGATCCTTAATTACCGCAAGTTTAATTAATCCAATATACGTTTGTGCAGGAGACCTGCGGGCGGAACAGTGCGCCAAGTACAACGGGAGGAACTACAAGGGCCGCAGTTACGTCTGGATACCTTTCATAGACGGTGAGTCTGAAAACCGATCTGATAATTTCCGATTCTAGATAGGGAGAGATCGCTCTGTCTCTCTAAAAAATATATTCTTCAGCTAATAATATAATCGAATGATTACATCAATAGAGGAGGAAGCATTTGTTTTTTCTTTTTATACAGACAGATATAACAAGTGAATTTTTTAATATATTTTATTTTTATATATAACATTATGGAAGAAAATCATAATTTAAAATTTTTGAATTTAAAATTACAAATTAAAATTTTTAGAGATGTTTACTGATATCGATTTAATTTTAAGATTTAATTTAATTTTAATTTAATTCATTCTTTATTATTATGTGACAAAAATTTTCAAGTAATCAGCTGATCATAACGATACACCGATCACCAGTTTTAATATCTAATGATATTCAGATTTATAAGGTATACACATATGTAAAATATGTAATTCTCTTGTCTCTCGACAATTTTATAAAAAAAAATAAAAAGAAGGCATGTTTGTGCGATATTAAAATGAGCCGATGACGTCGGTGTCCGACCAATGCGACGATGACGCGTAGCTAACGGCCAGGCCCGGTGACCTAACTTCCGCCTAGTCTAATCGCGATCACTGTTGTTCTTCAGCGCCGAACTCCTGCGCGCTCAATTGCCGTGCAGTCGGCGAGCGTTTTTACGCAACGCTTGAACCGGCAGTAATGGATGGCACGCCCTGCGATGCCCCGAATCTTCGCGGACGCGGCAGCAACGGGATTTCGACGGAACGCAACGGTGGCGAACGGTGGCTTTGCGTCGCCGGACAATGCAAGGTATGAATAACGCGAGCGATATGCGAGAGGAACGATGCCGGAAATTAATGACCGACCGGGGTGCGATACGATACGAGATACGATACGATCGACGAGATCGCTATTGACCCGTACGTTCAATCGCGCTTTCGGCCCTTCGTCGCGCACAACGACTCCCTCCCTCCCCCCCATCCCCCTTTCGTTTCTTTTTCCTGTCGGCATCGGGGTTCATTGTACGCCCGATACACCGGGCGTTTATCAACCAATAACGCTCGGAACTAGGCTTCTCCGATTTTGACGAGCTTCCGATGTTTTTCAGTTATTTTCCGTCGTTTCGACTTGAAACAATCGGTTTTCCCGTGATAGACATCTCGAGCATTTTTAGAAAATTATTTTCTTAAAAAAACATATAAGAGAAATATATTTTCATATGTTGGAGAAAATAAATTTATTTAATATCTCTATATCTATACGAAAAATATCGTGAAATGCAGTCTTGAAATATATCGGGAATAGAGCTCGAGAATTGAGCTTGACAAAATTGAAAAAAAGATCGCATCTGTGTTTCCTAAGTGAATTAGACGCAACAGCACTGGAAACTTGCATGTGTTTGCCATTCAGTCTGTAGGATGCGACGGGGTGGTGGGTTCCGGCGCGACAATGGATGCCTGCGGCGTGTGCGGTGGCCAAGGTAGGGGATGCAGATTGTTCGAAGGCATCTTCATGGAACCGATCTTGCCTAAGGGTCATCAGCAGGTGACCACGATTCCAAAGGATGCTATGTCACTCAACATATCCGAGTTACGATTCAGCAGCAATTTTTTAGGTAGCACATACATCGATAAATATCGATGATATTTATCAAAGTAAAATAACTTTATCAATTAATATGAAGTAATTACTATTTTTCTAATTTAAAAAATTTTTTTTTATTTGGCGAAATCATTAACAATTTATCATTTAATCGACAAAACCGATCGATAACGTATTGCATTTGTTTGGTTTAATACATTTTTTTTTTTTTTTTCAAGAAATTAAAACAACAGTTCGTATAATGGCATTGTAAAAGTATTATCTTAATATCTTCTTTCGTTTCTTTTAAATTTCTTATTTAAAAAGATTATGTTATATTAGAAAACTGATAAATAATTACTGCCAATTATCATGAACGTTTTTACTTTTGGAATAAAATGCTAGTAGTATTGCAAAAGCAGAGGCAAATAATATTAAGCGGCGATTTTTGCTCGCGATACTATAATAGCGGTATGCTGATTAACAAACGATCGATCTACTCGCAGCGTTGAGGGACAGTAACGGCAGTTACATCCTAAACGGACCGTGGTCTTACAGTCCCAGTGGAACTTATAAAGCGGCTGGTACGACATTAACATACCAGAGGGGCGATAGAAACCGTATGGAGTGTATCTTAGCGACTGGACCGTTGAACGACTCTTTGCATTTAGAGGTATTGCTCATGTTATCATCTTTTCGTTGACCGTAACAAAAACAGATTAATTATTTGTTTAATTACGTAGATAATTTATTTTATAGCTTACGAATAATTTTATCTCTCTAATTTTGTTTGCTTTATTTATTACGTAGTTATCAATTTTATTTTTGCATCATTTGAAGATAAAATAATTCTTGCAAATATTTGAGTTATTTATTATTATTTGCATTTATTGTTATTTGCATATTTTATATTTATATTGCAATTTTCAATCACATGTGTGTAACATATTTTTGAATGCATTCTGCTCTACGATTCACAATTGAATCTTTATATATTATTAATATTATTGTTTACACATTGTATCTTATAGATTTTATCCATGGAGTTAAATCCAGGCGTCTTGTACAAATACATGCTACCTATGAAGGAAGTACCGGAAAGTAAAGCGGTGATTGCACCGCCGCTGCTTGTCGCAGGTAATCGCTTCCTTGCCAATTAATTATATACAATTAAAAATAAAATCACCGATTATAGTCCATAAACTTATAATGCCTTTTTCTTTTTTGTAGGATCGAATGATCGGGGCAACGAGATACCTAGTCCAGATACTCATGTGACCGTGCGGGTACCAGTTACAAAAATGTAAATACATACACTCTCTTATTTTAAAATCTTCAAAGCGATATATTTCACGAATTGTTAAAAGTATTAAGATTCTCAAAGATGTTCTCTTAATATAAAACATTAGAATTACAAATTGCGTATTTATAATATATTAACTTATTAGATATATTTTCATAATTTAAATTCCAAATTATCTTGAACTTTTTTATACGCCTTTTTTCCTTTTTGATGCGTTTCCTCCCGTCTTTAACATTCAATTTTTGCTTTTTGTCTTTATTTTTTTAATCGTAACATCTTTATAATACATCAAGTCTTTCATGCGGCGCTCGCTCGGCTCGGATTCCGCCGATGCTCCTTTGTACGACACAGGAATCTATGCGAGAACCTCTCGCGAATCAAGTCGCGCGATTTGTCTTCCTTCGTACAGCACGTTACTCTCTCTACCTTCCAGATCAGATCGGCGCAGCGATTTATCTCCAACGCGTCGCGATCGCGATCCGCATGACGGCGGACGGAAGGAAGAGATGAAGCATCCACCGACTACGGTGATGGCGGGCGATCAGCCAAAGTCAAAGACGACGAGGAAGAAGAGAAAAAGGAAGTTTGCTTGGAAAATAATCGGCTACGCTCCTTGCTCGAAAGAATGCGGGGGAGGTAAGAATGCAATAATTAATCGATACTTGTGTGCTAGAATATTGCGTGTCATAACTGGAAAAGTTTCATTAACGATATCATATTATTTAATAAACGGCACCAATGATTTAGAAGCAAAATAATTAAAATATCGATTTAGTAAGTACAGTGCAGAGCAAATAATGAGTTATACAGTTAGAAAAAATAATATTTTTAGCAAAATATTTATTTCGCGATTTTCATGGGATTTTAGCATGGAAACGGTTTAATCGTGTTTAGATTATGCGAGCGATATTATAAATATTTCAACACGTGTAATATTCGAGACGTGATGCGCAGTATTATTATTTCAACATTGAGATATCGGCGGGGTTGTATTAACTTCCAATACCACTGATAATACATTTTCGCGTATCTCTCGTATATTCCAGGATATATAATAATATGATATTGCAGCCTCCGAGAAATAAATGAATTTGATGAATAAGCACTATTAATGTATACGGAATATATTTTAAATTGCACGCGATTAAATATTTGTGATTGTATAACACAAATGTTTAATTGATCTATTGAATTATTTATTTATTCACAATTATTTATTTATGACATTTATAATTATTTCTTGCGATTATTCTTTCTAGTATAATTGATAAAAGCACTATTGAGATCCCTTACAATAATTCATCACGGCTAATAAAAGATAAATATTGCGAAACATATAATTTAAAAGTATATGATAGCTATATGATATTTGAGCATAAAGTTTATCGACAGTATAAAATGTCATCGATATAAAAAGGCCATGTAATTTCGAGTCATCATTTTGGATCTGTCGTAAGAAGTCGATTAAACGGACAATTAAGCAAAAAGCGCCTGGATAATTAAGGTCATTACGAAAACGACTTTGTCTAGACATCACCGAGGCATTGCGTGGGAAGTGACCCGAGATATGTTCGTTTCGGTACAATTGTACACATTTTAGCGTTCGACAACCAAAAATTTTGAGTGAGATATTTTTAATTTATTTCATACTAATAATGAAAAAAAGCTATCCGTTTGAAAAGCCATTTTTATATAAACTAGAACAACACAGGGCAAAAAATTATTAAAGAAAAAATTATTCTGAAATATAAAAAGAAAGATAATTATATTTATTATATATATTAGGGTCTCCGTTAATTTGGCAATTTTTAAAATTCTTATAGGACCTTCTCTTACTTCTTAGTCCCCCCTCTAACTTTTTAGTCCCT